CAGCGTCATCTACATGGCGACCCACACCATGGTCCGTGTTGTATGACCTTATACTACGCAGCCATGGTACGTGCTACATGACCTTAAACTATATAGCCATGGTCCAAACTACATGACCTTAAACTGTAGCGGAGGTTTAGTTGCACGACCTTAAACTATATGATCCTAGTTGCAGGACTTTAAACTGCATATCCACAGTCCAAGCATTATGACCTTAAATCATAGTGCACGTCCTGGCCGCATAACGCTAAACTGCTTTGCCCAGGTCTAGAAGGCATGACCTTAAATACATCCTCACACATACGCATACCGTTTTTACGTGCATCTCCATGCACGCCTTCCCTAACCGACCCATTCGTGTGCACACACCACCTTCATTACCTCCCCAGTGAATTCATTTACTTCATCTTTCACCATTCCCTAGTGAGTCTTACCCATGCTCATAAAACGGTGAACCATTCTACCATCCATACTCACCGTCGGCTAGTGGGTCACCATTTTTCATCCACTTTTCATACGTAGCCTCGCACCATCTCCTCAAAGTGAGTCGAAACCATCACTAGACTCACTCCATGGCCTCCACAGTCCACCATTCATCACCACTACGGTCCAGTTGTACGACCCTAAACTATAGTGAACGTCCTAGCCGCATGACTTTAAAAGGCTTCGCACAGGTCCCGAAGGCGTGACCCTAAACACGCCTTCACAAAAAAAAAGGGGCATGGTGTGCACCTGAACAATGGAACGCCATGAGTAAAATGACAGATGGGCATGGTCATAAAACCATGAGTAAAAGAGTTTCGTGAAAATAAAAATCTAGGCATGGTGACGACCCCAAAAAGGGTACCGTGAGAAAAAACAAATGAAAAGGGTAGACATGACCACGAGGTCATGGGTAAAAGAACCCAAAAATAAAAGAAGTCAGAGAAAACCATCTTTACGATGCCACTTTCCCTTCTTCAAGTGAAAACTCGCAAAGGGTGCTTGGACCGACAAAGCAGATGGACGCAGTACCACAGCCTCAACCGACACCCAATTTGTCGGACAGTCATAAACCTGGCTAATGAGGTCTACCTAAAACCCAAATCCCCCAGCATCCAATCACATCATAAAATGGCTCATCTGGGAATGAGAGCCTCAAAAGATCTCTCATGCTTCAACATCAACAAACAAACAAGAGTACTTGAGGGTGAGGACGATGACTGAAAGATCCCTCCAAAAATGCTAAAAACCATCATGAAGACAAGAAACTAACAAAGCCAGGGCCTAACCTGCCAAAGACATCAGGGTTATTCCTCGCCATGAGATCGCCTTACCAAAAGCCTTCCTTAGCTGACAGGCCCAGACCTTTTAGACCCGGTAGGATGGGGCCCATAAGTCTGCGTTGCCAAAATTCCCTTAGTCAATAGACCCAAACTTTTGGGATAGGTCAGAAGCTCCCAACTGAACCGCACTAGATGAGACCTATAGAGATACTCTGAACATCAAAAGCAAACTTAGTGTAGCAGCGAACAATGCCAACCAAAAGTTCATAACATTTGGCCTCTAGATAGGCTAGATTATGCTCAATGAGGTTCCTACAAAATCCTCAAGCTTCATAATGGCAAATAGTCCCTCGAGGGTGAGGACTTCGACAGGATCCATCAAAAGTTTTTCTCCCCCTAAAAGTCTCCACGAATGGACCCGTACATTGCATCCAAACGTCAAAGCATCCTAGTCACAGCATTGCGTGGATCTTCTCAACATTCACGTAGTCTTGTGGAGAAATTTCTCAAATGATTCTATTTCTTGATTCTGTCGAAGCACAACAATTGGCAGGGCATGCTGTTGGAAGATATTTTTCATCATCATAGGGCCCCCGCTCAATAAAGCCTAGCAAATATTGGAAATTCTGGCAGTCTCATAATAGCTCCAGAACTGGCCAAAATCTTGATAACAACTCTCAAAGGCCTCTTGTCAATTTTCATCGTATTTCGACATGTCTAAGGCGGTGCAGACTGAGAATTAGTTCCAACAAAATTAGCCTCTAGCACCCTGAAACGGACCCTGTAACTAGATTTATCTTTTTGGTGTCTCAACTTGTTATGGGACCACTACCATTTGATCCGAAATATTTGAAAACCCCCAGGGGTCAAATTTCAGCTTAGACATTCCAAGAACAAGTTATAGGCAAAAGAGCAAAACAAGAGGAGTCGCACGCTATTCCCGTGCAACCACCCTGCAACTCCACACCGTTGAAGAGACAGTCACAAACAGTGACTTTCAACTCTCATATCTCACCCGTCCCAAGTCGGATTGCGCTCAAATTTAGTGAGCATGTTCGTCTCATCAAGACGAGCATTACAATATGTAGCACGCCCCGAGACAACACCCGAGCACGAAGAAAAACTAGAGAGAAATTGCTGATGCATGAAAAAAGTGCGGGAAATTTAACAGCGTCGTGCCTTGCTCAAGTGGCCAAATCGCACCGCTCACGAGCCCGATCGATGCAAGACCAGTTCCATCGCGTGCGTAAGGTCTCGAGCTATCTCTTACTCGAGCCCCATACATGATGAACAGTTAGATTCTGCACACAAAGCCGATGAAGGGAATGCATGTTCGATCTTCGAAATTCCAAATTCTAGCCAAAATTCCAAAGTTGCAAAATCTTCATCCAGGCACGGCGTTTGTTGCCCCGTGATTGTAACAACATGCTCAATATGATCTAGGGAAGAAATCACAGAAAAACATCAAGAAATGAGCACACTCTCGATTCGAAGTTTCAAGATTCAACCAAAGTTCAAATCACATAATCATGCCCTAAAAATACGGTCCATGGCTCAAAGTTGGTATCAAATCCATCGTCATGCCAAGCCCTACAATAAAACAATCATCTTTCAATCAACCGGGCATCAGAACAACCCTGAATCATCCATGAAAAATCATGTCCATTCTAGGGCAACACATGGACTGTTATGGAATTCCACAAATTATTAGGAAAGGGCAAATCTGTCATTTTTTACCCTAATTTCTAATTTCTTTTAATTCAATTAAATCTTAATTTTCAGCAATTAGGTTTAATTTTGATCGATCCACCCATATTTGGGGCAAATTCAAGCTTTTGGGAAAATCAGTTTACGTGAGCTCTTTGCCCTCCAACGACCATAAGTCAATATGGGACCATCGAGCTCAAACATGGTGCATTTTGATCGTGACTTGATTATCTTCAATTTCACGTAAGAAAAGCCATGATTGGGGTCCAGGAAGGTACTCATCCAAGGCTTGAAAGTGCACACATTTTTTGAGATAATAGGATAGTGGTCTTCCTACAACTTGCTGGAATCACAACTCGGTCGATTGGAGGTCATTTCGCATGATTCTTGATGTAAAATGATTATGTCAACATCCCCTTCTATCGCCAACAAAAGAATCACAATTAAGCTCGAAATTTTCAAAGTAATAGATCAAAGAAGACAAGCAAGCCTGCAAAAAAAACTATGAAACACGAAAACATCATCAAATCTACATGGCTCTTCGCAAATCACATATCAAAACGATCACCTCAAGACGATCTATGTTTTTCCAAGGATAGATCCTCCATTCCAGTATTGGAACCAAACGAAGACCCCATGCCATGTGGGTGGGAAGAGACCCTTTTGAGGGACCTATTTGACAATTTTGAGTTTTGTGCACAGCCTTTTCAGTCATTTTTTCCTTTACACAAATTATTCTTTTATTTGTGTAATGTTTATTTTTACTCATTTCCTATGGGTTTTGAGCATCCACCCTAGTTCAAAGGGGGAGGACATTTTTTATTCTTTAGGAGGCTCTTCCGCTGTGGCACCTGGGCGAGGTTTGACCCAACCGACCTTTTGTGGATTCCTTCAATGTGTCTTGGCTACTCACCAAGCACCTTTTTTTCTCATATACCCCCCTATGGGAGGTGCTGCTGGAATTCTGTCAGTTTTCAGTCGACAGGATTCCGGTCGACACTCTCTCTAGCCACTAGTCTATCCTACACTCAAACCAAGCCAACCCATTACAAAACCCTACGCATTCTAGCCCATCCAAGGCCCACACGTGCTACTCACTGAACCTAACACTAATCAACCCAAACCAAACCCAAAACGAACCCAAACTAACACAAACCAAACCCTAAGAGTACATAGGACATCATCCATGGAGAGTGTGCAACTTCGAGGACATTGCGGTAGCAAGGAGCGTGAGGGAGTTGAGTCAAATCGTAGTCCATCAAGCGACTTCAGCAACGCTACACTGGGATCTTAGAGTGCAAAACTTTTGGATGCATCTGAATCCTAACATTCAATGTAATTATTACCTCTGATTTAAATTTGTTGGTTAACCATCACATTGCACCGCACACATTATCTACGCATACACCGCACGAGAATTGGGGTCACCCACATGCACACACATGTGCACACAAGCAAAGCAAGCATGGAGCGAGAATGCGGGGTCTGGCCGGCCATAAAGCAATGGCACAAGAATTTTGATACTGTATTGATATCAAATAGTTTCAAAAAGAATGGGGCACACAAATGTGTGTATTGTAAAGTAGTTAGCTCTATTTGTGTCATCATATATTTATAAGTAGATGATATATTAATTTTCAGCCTTAATTTGAAAATAGTGGCAGAAATTTGAAATTCCCATCTAGAACACTTTACATGTTTCTTTATTTATTTTCTTGGGTAAATTTTTTTAAGTTTAATTTTCCATTAACTTGGCCGATTTACAAGGAACCGGCCGTGAATGAGCTATGGAGAATAAGAATCTTGGACGGCTTTGAGAAGGATTTTTGGTATCATGATTAGAAGAATGTTGTCTTTGTACTTTCTCTAGAAACCAAGCCAATGAAACCACTCAACATTTGTTTAAGGGCCTTTGTGACGTATATCTCAACAAGGAAATCCGTCTTTAAGAGAGAGAGAGGCCCCTATAAATTTGTAAGAGAGAGAGAGCTAGTGTTGTTACATTAGATCTGTGAGAGAGAGCGAGAGATGAGTGAAGGCGAGGGCACGGTGTGCGTCACAGGGGCCGCTGGATTCGTCGGATCATGGCTAGTGAAGCGTCTTCTAGAGGAGGGATACGTCGTGAGGGCCACCGTCCGAGACACAAGTACGTTCGTTATGTGAAGGTTTATTATACTGCATGTTTGGCCTAGAAGTCCTATTTCTCTTCAGAAAATTGATTCTTATGTATGACTTCGTCAACCCGCCCCGGTCGAAGTGGAATCAAACCCTTGGAGCAGGCTGATCTGGTTTTAACCAGTTTTTGTGGTCAAGTTCCAAGCTGTTGAAAAACATTCAAAAAACATGTTAAAAAATTCAAAAAAAAAAGGAAACTTATTTGGAATGTGTTCTCTTATTTGAAATGTGTTCTCTAATATTTTTCTATCAATTTAGCTTTGGGAAGTGCTTGGGCATGAATACTTATTTTTACATTTTTCCCTTTGGATTATTTTTAAAGTACCTCTAGATTATTTCAATCATACCCCCATTCACAAATTCCCTTTTTCAAGTCCATTTTTTAACTATTCTTTTACTTTACTTAGATGTGTTATGTTTAAGTTTACCCTAAACATGTCATATTTTTTGGAATTTTTATACATTTTATTTTTATTAATATTTTTGTCCCAGTTTTTTTTGGGTTATCGAGAGCCGATTCCGGGTAACTTGGCCCTGCCCATGTTTGGGTTCCTAGCCCAGTTTGTGTAATTGAACACTACAAATGACCCAATCTACTCACCAAATGCTTTTTTCTATATGAATATTATTGGGACTAGTGTAGGAAACCATGAACCGAGAATGGGACCTGGCTGGGCTGGGTCCAGGTACCCTAGAACCGGTCTAGGTAATTGGCCAGGTCAGACAGTTACTAGCTAGGCAAACAAATGTTTAAAAAATAAAAATAAAAATTAGACACATCCCAAAAAATTATGAAAAATATGTTTAAAGTAAAATTAAACAAAACACATCTAGATGATGTTAAAAAAGTGGTGACAAATATAATTTGAATACACAATTTTTTACTAAGCATATTTTAGAAATAATCTAAAAAATTTGGCAAAAAGTATTGATAGCCAAACCACGTTGTCCAATGATTAAAAAGGTATAAAACCATATTGTAAATAAATTTGTTACTTTTTATATATTTTTAATAATTTTTTGTAATTTTGGTTTTGAACTTGGGAATTTGACTACCAAAACCACGCTTAACCGGACCCGCCTGTAGCCGGGCCTAGTTCGACCCAATCGATTTGTCTAACACTGAAAGGAGACCATAACAAATTTTATATCCAATGGAATGGGGTATATGCGTAAAGTGTCGGATAAAATTTTCCTGAGCTTGGGAAATCTGAACACTAAAGCGCTTTGTATGTTTTCTTTGTAGGATAAACCGTCTCGTCTAAGATCATGAAAAGATCATTTTTTTTTTTGGTGGAGGTCATGAAAATATCATTATTTTAGCCGGTGTATTGGGACTGGACTAGACCAAGGCACTCGTCCATGTTCTGTTTTTTACAAAAAAAATTTACAATTTGACATCTAATGTGTAGAAAGATTGATGCCTTTAATGTTTTTCTTTGTATGATAAACCGCTTCGTTCAATGGTCATGAAAATATCATCTTTTTTTGGGTGGAAATCAGGAAAATATCATCATTTTAGCCAATGTATCAGGATTCGGTTCGGCGAAGGCACTTGTCCACCGGCCGATGCGAGTTGATTGTTTTCAAATCAGTATTTCAAAAATGGAACCAGCCTTGGAAACCGGCAAAGGGTAATCGGTAAACCATCCAATTCAACCGGCCTAACTAAGCAAGTCCCGATCGGTCAAAAAAGTATTAAAAAATAAAAAATATAAAAAATATATTTAAAGTACGGTTAAGAAAGGCACATCCAAATTAAATTGAAAATTAGTGAAAAACTAGATTATAAATAATCGATTTGTGCACAGTAGTATTTTTGAAATTTTTCAAAAATAATCGAAAAATGTAAAAAAACAAAATATTCATGGCCATAACACTTCCAGTCTTTGCAAAAATGATTAGAAAAACATTAAAAACTCATTCCAAATAAACCCCTTTCTATTTTTAGATTTTTTAAAACTCTTTTAAAATACCCAACCGAATTAGCAAAAATCCGAACCAGCCAGTACTCGTTTCTAATCTAACGGACCGGTTCCGAGTTGAACCGACTGAATTTACTAACATTAGTTTAAATGGCGCGTTGGTTAGTTGTGAGGCACTCTTTCAAGAGGTGTGTGATCGAACCCCAACCTTGTCTTTTTTTTCCCTTTTTTTTTTTTTTTAGTTTTTAGTTTTTTGTTCTGTTTTCTTTTTCTATTGTTTTATTTTTTTTTGTAAACCTCCCATTTAAAAATAAAATATATAGATATGTATGGGATTGTAAATCATGATACCATTTACCATTATTACAAGGAAGTTATAATCACTCCTAGCCATTAGATTTCAAATTAGATGGCTTAGGATGTATTACGAAGTTTAATAAAAAACAAATTGAACCTTTAATCTAGTCAATGACATACTTAGGTCTACCCAATTTAAAATCTAACGGACAAGAATGGTTATGATCTCCTTGTACTAAAAATTAATACTCTCTTTCCATATTTTTTCATATGTTATAGACGGATGTACGGGGAGTCTTATGAAGGGATTCGAACCCCATAAATACTAGAAACAAGCCATGTGCAATAACCACTAAGATGTTTAGTGGTTTTTCAAATTAAAATAGGGGATTATATATTATGAGACCATTTATCTTTATTACAAGGACGTCACAATTGCTTTTAGTCATTAGATGTCAAAGTGGATGGCTTTGAATGTTTCATAGATTTCGAGAAATTTTTTTTTTTTTTTTAACTTTGAATTTAGTCAGTAACATATATCACAACCACTCGATTTGAAGTTTGACCGACAATGGTAAGTGTAACCATGTAAAAGATCTCTTTGTGTACATTTCCTTAAAAGTATAACATAATGCTATTTATAACAAATTCAAGGTGTACAGCCCAGCGAACTTGGTCGAGCCCGGGTACTTTGCTTTTTGCAATGGTAGTATATCAAGGTACATGACACACCAAATGTGTTGTTTTTGGGTTCAGTAAAACCAACGATGGAATCTAAAACCGCACAATGAAGAACTTATGTGCGACAATAGGGTCATGAATTGTGTTACAGTGGCACTCCTCACGATATAGGTGACCTCCACTTCTTTTTACCTAAAACGTGAGCAAAGTTATCGAGACCGGACTGGACTTGTTAGCTTGATTTGTCTTGGCTGGTCTGGCTTAAAACGAAAATGAAATTTCGTCTAAAATCTGTGAAAAATAATGTTTTGCTTGGTTTTGCTAATTAGATAAGCCGCTCTTTTACTGGTTCAACATACCAATAAAATGGGATCTCTTTTTAATATATTTTAAATTTTTAGACTATTATACTTCTACTTCCATTTTAGTTTTTTTAAAGAGTTTCATTTGCATAAGGTTGCAGCCTTAAATAATCAAAGTAAGTTGCACTGCCAATTTTTATGTACTTTTAATGTGTGTCAAAAACTCTCAGGATGTCCTAAAAATCTATCTGTGTCTTTAATTATAAAATTTCAAACTTCAAAAATGGTTTAGATCAAATTGATCTATAAACAAATGATAATCTTGAAAATGGACAATTCAGATAATATGTTGCAAGAGGCATTATTTTTAAAATTTGAAATCTTCTTCTTCTGTTTTTGTTTTTTCATTTCTATGTCTCCATATTGAGATGATCAATTAGAGGGTATTCTAACACCGCAACAGCTTTTTCCAATGGTTTCGCACCTTAATTCTATAGTTCAAAGTTGCAACCTTATATAATTTTTTTCTTTTTTCTAAATCCAATACAACTGATTTATTCGGTGTTTGAACTGGTTTCAAGTGGGCTAGAACCCTCACCAGTTTGATGGTCGGTCCAACTATGATATAACTTAGGTGTGAGAGGGATCGTGGTGAAGATATCCAAAGTATAAACACACTATTGGTTAGCACTCTTGCTTTATTGTGGTCTTAAACCTCCAACAGTGATTAATTTCCAGCAAGCTCTGATTTGTCTCTGGAAGAAGAAGACCAAAAGTTTATATAGAAAGAAAGAAACATGAAAATAAACGACTAGGGAGAAAAACAAAATTGAGTCATCACCCTTAATGATCCAAGGAAGGACTGGCAATGGGCAAGGGCTCGGCTTACCTTTGAAAAACTAGTGCTTGGGCCAAGAATTGGGACCGGAGGACCAGACCAAGACTGAGCCACTACGAACCAAGGATAGGGCAGGGGGTGGGTGGGGCCAAGACCATGCAAGGGCTGGGCAGGCCAAGCCCTTTGTTTCCTTTCTTTTTTATTTATTTATTTCCTTTTTACCCTTCAAGTATATTAGTCCCAGTTAGTCCCAGCCCTGCCAAACCAAGATGAGGCATGGGCCAGGGCATTTTGGGCTCGGATGCTTTGAAATTTATTAAATATAGAAGAATAAATTTTGGAAATTCGTGGGTGAAGAAGGACGAACGTATAGGGTTCTTGGGAACATCGAGCTTGCGAAAACAGGAATCCCAAATATTAGGATCCCACTCAAGATCATATACGTGATTGACTAAATGCAAAGTAGATGAATACAACTATAAATCGCATACAAGAAATATAGTAAACATAAAAATCACATCACAACAATACACAATATATATGGTTCACCCCAAGAGGGCTACATCTACAGGCACGGCAAATTGAAATCCACTATAACATTGAAAATTACATCACAGATTTTTGACATAGAGCTACCTCTCTAACCCTCAAGAAAGTCCAGTTGAGCAAATCCTTTTAGACCCGCTCTCCTGATCGGTACAATCTGCCTATCTTTGATATCTATTTTACAATTAATCCGTTGTCCAAGAAGAGACTCATCTCTATTCCCACAGCTAAACCATTGTCCAAAAAGAGATCATTGAGAGTAATCGAGACTTTCTCTCACTAAAATGAGAAACCACCCAAAATTTTTATGGGAACAGCTTCTCTACAAGAAACTAGTATCTCAATCTATAGGAAGTACATCCATGGTGTTTCTCTCTATATA